GGGTTTCACCATGTTGGTCTGGCTGGTCTTGAACTCGACCTCGTGATCCACCTGCCTTGGCCTCCCAAAGTGCTGGGATTACAGGTGTGAGCCACCACACCCAGCCAGTTTCTAATATTTCTAAGCAAACCATACATTTAAATGAAATCAGAGTGGGCACAGTGGCACACGCCTGTAATCCCACCACTTTGGGAGGCCGAGGCGGGCAGATCACTTGAGGTCAGGAGTTAGAGACCAGGCTGGGCCATATAGTAAAACTCTGTCTGTACTAAAAATTAGCCAGGCGTGGTGGCGGGTGCCTGTAGTCGCAGGTACTTGGGAGGCTCAGGCAGGAGAATTGCTTGAACCCGGGAGGCAGAGGCTGCAGTGAGCTGAGATGGTGCCACTGCACTCCAGCCTGGGCAACAGAGTGAGACTCCATCTCAAAAACAAACAAACAGTGTAATCGACAAGAAAAATAGCTGTTGAGATACAAGGAGAAATGAAAGATGTTACAGTAGCAGAACCTGATCTAGCTGGGTCACTGGTGGAGTCTAGAAGCATTCCTGAGGAACTTACACGTAAGCTGATAGAAATTATCTAGTTAACAAAGGGCTGTCCTAATTACTTTTATTGGATAACCGCTCCCAAAACTTAGTGGCATAAAACAATTATTTTATTATGCTCGTGGATTCTGGGAGTCAGAGGTTTGGACAGGGCTCAGTTGGAATCAATTTTTGTCTGCTCCATGATGTCTGGGGATTCAACTGGAAGGACTCAAAGGTGACTTGATAGACTTGATGGCTGTGGAGTGGAATCCTCGGGAACTTCTTCCATGGTCTTCTCCCAGTCTGACTGGGACTACTGACTGTAATGCCTATACATAGCTCCATTGGTTTGGGCTTCCTCAAAGCATGGCTGCTTCAGCATAGTCACACTTCGCATATGATGCACCATGGTTCTATAGCTCATTCCAGTGGACAAGAACATTGGTCAAGAAGCTGCATTGCCTTTCATCGCATAGCCTTAGAAATCACTGTGTCACTTCCACTGTTTTCTATTGGTTGAAGCTATCCCAGTCCCACCCAGATTCATAGAAAGCAGTCATAGACTCCGCATCTTGATAAGAAGAGTGTCAGATAATTTGCAGCTGTTTTAAAATCACTGCAGGACCCCATTCTCCATGATATGATTATTACACATTACATGCCGGTATCAAAACATCTCATGTACCCTCTCAATATATATACCTAAATATACCTATTTTGTACCCAGAAAATTAAAAAATTTTTTAAAAAATCACTGCAGGGGTTGATGGGGAAACACTCCAGACAGAGGTAATATCGTGTGGGAAGTCCCTGTGATGGGAGTGAGGTCAGCAAATTTAGTACATAAGTAACTGCACATTCACCCCTCCCTCAGCACTCCCTTTCACCAGCCCTTGCTTAACTATTCTCCATAGAATGAATCACCTTCTAATTTTTTTTTTTTTTCCCAGACAGGGTCTTGCTCTGTCTCCCAGGCTGGAGTGCAGTGGCAAAATCTCGGCTCACTGCAACCTCTGCCGCCTGGGTTCAAACAGTTCTCCTGTCTCAGCCTCCCCAATAGCTGGGATTACAGGCACCCGCCACCACGCCTGGCTAATTTTAATTTTTGATTTTTAGTAGAGATGGGGTTTCACTATATTGGCCAGGCTGGTCTTGAACTCCTGACCTTGTGATCCTCCGGCCTCAGCCCCCCAAAGTGCTGGGGTTACAGGCGTGAGCCACCGCCCCCAGCATTTTTTTTTTTTTTTTTTTTAAGACAGAGTCTCACTCCAACACCCAGGCTGAAGTGCAGTGGCGTGATCTCGGCTGACGGCAACCTCTGCCTCTCGGGTTCAACCAATTCTCTTGCCTCAGCCTCCCAGGTAGCTGGGATTACAGGCACACCCGCCACCATGCCTGGCTAATTTTTGTATTTTTAGTAGAGATGGGGTTTCTCCATGCTGGCCAGGCTGGTGTTAAACTCCTAACCTCAAGTGATCTGCCCGCCTCAGCCTCCCAAAGTGCTGGGATTACAGGTGTGAGCCACCATGCCTGGCCTAATACTCTATGTATTTTTTAATGTTAATTTTGTTCATTGTCTTCTCCCAGTAGCTTTTGAACTCCAATGTGGGTAGGGTATGTTTTCTTCTGGTTTGGTTATTGGTGTATCTACAAATTGATCAGAGTTTGAGTGAATGAATGAATGAATGAACAGACCAAGACCCTCTGAGGTGAGAATCTTGTCGAGGGCATGACCAAGGAAAGACCCTCTTGTGAAGGGCGTTATTACAGTGTTATCTGGACTTGCTCAGTAATAGCAGGTCTATTGGGATTGCTTTATGGGGGGCATAAGTATGCTCTGGCATTTCCCCCTAAACGTTTTCCTAGGGGGGAAAAAAAAAATCAAGGCTGGAGATTGGCCCGTAATAAGCAGTAGAAGGGGAAACAAGAAAATGTCCAGTGGGCAGGGGGAGGCCAAGTCGCAGAAAGCCTTGGGTATGGTATATGAGGCAATGAGAAACGTCCATGGGCGGAGCATCCTCCGCATTATGTGAGCGGGGTCGGGATCAGGACTGAAAAGGTGAGACTTGGGACTGGGACTTTGAAAAGCTGCTTGAGGAACGGGGCACTGCTCTGAGGCCGTGGGAGAATCCAATTAAGAATATTAGGCCAGGCCCGGTGGCTCACGCCTGTAATCCCAGCACTTTGGGAGGCCGAGACGGGCGGATCACGAGGTCGGGAGATAGAGACCATCCTGGCTAACACGGTGAAACCCCGTCTCTACTAAAAAGACACACACACACACACACACACACACACACACACACACACACAAGCCGGGCATGGTGGCAGGCGCCAGTAGTCCCAGCTACTCGGGAGGCTGAGGCAGGAGAACGGCGTGAACCCGGGAGGCGGACCTTGCAGTGAGCTGAGGTTTCGCCACTGCACTCCAGCCTGGGCGACAGAGCGAGACTCCGTCTCAAAAAAAAAAAAAAAAAAAAAAAAAAAGGAATATCGGGGCTGGCGTGGTGGCTCACGCCTGTCATTCCGGCGCTTTGAATGGAGGCTGAGGCGGGAGGATCTGTTGAGCCCCAGAGATCAAGACCATCCTGGGTAACATAGTGAGACCCCCATGTCTAAAAAAATTAGCCAGGCGTGGTGGCGCGCGCCTGTATTCCCAGCTACTTGGGAGGTATCGCTGGAGCCCA